GTATTCCAAAGGGATGGATCTCAACCCACTTAGATCTGAGGTCACCCTGTCCTTTTCCACATTGACCCATCCCGTTACTCCAAAGGGATGGATCTGAACCCCCTCAGATCCGAGGCCACCCTGTCCCTTTGCGCCTTTACCCACCCCGCTATTCCCTACGGACGGATCTCCCCCCCGCGCTCCCGCCCGCTCCCCTCACGCTCCCGCCTCTCGCGAGCGCTGACGCCAGCGGCGCGCGCATGCGCGGCGGGGCGCGCGCTGTGTCACGGCCATGGAGTACCTGATCGGCATCCAGGGCCCGGACTACGTCCTGGTGGCCGCGGACACCGTGGCGGCCACCAGCATCATCCAGATGAAGCACGGTGAGAGCCTGGGAGGCGCCGGGGTCCTGTGATAAGCGCTGGCCCGCTAGGGTGTCCCGGGGCCGCGGGGGTGTGCGCGGTTGGGGTGCGGCGGGCCCGCCGCTCGGGCTGAGGGGAGGCTGCTCACAGCCCAAAGCCTTTCTGGCTTGCAGCTCTGCCGGGCCCTTCAGGGATGTTAGTGGCTGTCGGAAGTGTAGGGCCAACGCGGGGTTTAAATCGCTGCTTTCTCTGGATAAAGTCTCCAATCTCCACCGAGTGTGACCGCTCTGTGTTGGGCTGTCAGCTTAATTTACCTGTTCAGGTGAGTGTTGTGATCCCAAGCCTCGCTCTGAGCAATGTAAAAGTGTTAAAAAACACAGGGATAGCGATGTGTGACAGGAGGTGCTCATTTGTGCCTATTTCACTGGTAATACGTAATTAGTGGGGAGAAAAGGCATTAGGGGGACTAAAAGTAGCAGTGAAATTCACAGCACCAGACTGAAATAAGGCTTTGGTTTCTTTGTGTGGTAAAACATCCAGGGCATCACCAAATGGCTGGAATTCTCTAAAATCAATTTTTCTTCCTGCTGTTGCAATGACCTAAACTGAAGCTTGTTCTATTCTAAAGACTGCTTTAGTAGCTCTTTTTAAAAAAGTTGTAGAATAGAGGATTGGTAGATTTATACAAATGAATATAAATAAATCTATATAAGAGTATTATAACACTGCTTTTACCTCGAATGTTTCACTTCAAGTCTGTGATAGCCAGTTGGAGCAGTGTTAGAGGTTGTGAAAGCTGGTGGTACATACAAAATAAAAAATTTATCACTTTACATAATGTTTTCTGGGTTAATATTTGTTCCAAATAGGTTTGTTCGTAAGCTTTAAGAAATGTGTACTTTGAATATAGGATTTAGTTGCTTTTGCTAGGGGGAAACCCATACATTTCAGATCTATATTTGGAATATTTAATTGTAAATAAATTTCAGCCTGGAGAAATTTTGACCTAATTGCTCCTTCCAGTACCTGAAAGGAAAGATGGAGAGAGAGACAATTTACAAGGGATGACAGGACACAGGGAATGACAGGACACAGGGAATGGCTTCCTACTGCCAGAGGGCAGGGTTAGATGGGATGTTGGGAAGGAATTGTTCCCGGTGAGGGTGCCCAGAGAAGCTGTGGCTGCCCCATCCTTGGAAGTGTCCAAGACCAGGCTGGATGTGGGGTAGTGGAAGGTGTCTCTGCCCATGGCAGGGGATGGGCTTTAAGCTGCCTTCCAACCCAAACCAGTCTGGCATTGCAGGGCTGGGCAGTGTCAGTGACTTTCCCTGAGCTCCAGACAGCAGCTCCAGTGCTGTGATGACTTTTGACATGGTTTTAGAGGATTGTGACACTTGGTGCCTGTCTTGCAGCAGAGATTGTTCAGCACCATTTGGTGAGCTGGAGGGGAAGCTCAGAGGTGGAGGCTTGGTGTTTGTCCAGGCCCTCAGTGGAGAGAAAGGATTTTCCCTTCACTCCAACAGCTGCTTCATGTCTGTCTGGGATATCCAAGTGTCAGATACCTGCTCTGGTGAGAGGAGACTCTGTGAGCACAGGATTGTCTCCAGCACAGGTACCTGCTCTGGTGAGAGGAGATTCTGTGAAGATTGTCTCCAGCAGATACCTGCTCTGGTGAGAGGAGACTCTGTGAGCACAGGATTGTCTCCAGCACTATCATTGCAACAACTTGGATCCACTCAAACACAGAACTGTTCTAAACTGCAGTTACGACTAAAAATATGGATTACTGTTCCTTAATTTCCTGTTTATAAATAGGCTTTGTTATGATTTATAATCATTACTTTAATTTTCATTCTCCTTCATTGTTTGGTTTGGTTTTTTCCCCGCAAAAAAATGACAAGCAAAAGAAATGTTTCTGGAAAAGCTTCATTCATGTAAACTTCTGGGTTTTGGGATTGCTGGATATTAAGGAAAAGGGCATAATTTGACATAGAATTTGTTTCTGGATTTCCTAAAATTGCTTTTGCTCAGTGTGTTGATATTTCAACTTTATATTAAATTATTTGCTTCCGTTGCAGAATATTTGAATAAAGTTGAATAGTCACTGAGCAAAATTGCTACTCCTGATCCCGGGAAGCAAAACCTTATGCTTTGAACACAATATTCTGTGTGAAGCTTTATTCTTTCCTACCTTGCTTGTAAGGTAGGAAATACTGTATATTTCTGGGATGCCTCCCTTCCTGAAGGGCTTTGTTTCTCTTCAACAACTCTTGTTTTCTGTGTCACCAGCTGTGAGAAACCAAATGTCAGTGTGTGCTCAGGAAGGCTTTTTACTGATGCTCCAGGTCATGATGCAGTTACCCAAATCTCTTTCTTCCGTAAAGTCCTGATGTGTCAGGATATTGGCAAAATAATTTATTCTTCCTTGTGACTGTGGCACTCAACATCATTTTTCTTTGCCTAGACCATGACAAAATGTTTAAGATGAGTGAAAAGATCTTACTGCTGTGTGTGGGGGAGCCTGGAGACACAGTGCAGTTTGCAGAATACATCCAGAAAAATGTTCAGCTCTACAAAATGAGAAATGGTAAGTGAAGCAGGACAGGCCCTGGGCTTTGGGAGCAGAGCTAAGGGTGGTTTCCAGGTGAATGTTGGTGGAAAGTGCCGTTCTCAAACCTTCTGTAAAGATTTTTGCATTTTTAGTGTCCAGCAAAGGTGATAATTCAGACAGGATGCAGAAATAGAGTCTGGATTGTACAGTATAAATTAAATGGTTTATCCAAATCCCAGCAAACTTCTCTGCAATATAAATGACACAAATATTTCACTGACAGACTTATTATTCTCTTAATATGTCCATTACATGCTGTCAGCAGTTCTTCTGATATATTGGACAAAAAAGTCAAGCTACATGTCCTTAATATTTTAATTTTTTGAAGCCATGTGTTTCTATGGTCCATACAGATATGAACTACCCAAAGTCTGAGGGCACTGTTTATGCTTGTAGCTTTCAGAATAAACCAGAATTAGACAAAAGGCGCTACATTTTATCACTAAAAAACATTTAGTTATTTCAAAAAAGGCATGGGAAGGTGGGAGGTGAAACATGAATGATTTGGACTGTTGGCAAATAAATAGTCACATTTCTTTTCCAGGTTATGAATTGTCTCCCACTGCAGCTGCAAACTTCACCCGGCGAAACCTCGCAGACTATCTCCGGAGTCGGGTGAGTTATAGCTGAGAGATTTTGGCACAGGCTTCCAGGGAATATTTCCATCCTCAGATAGTGGAGTCTGGAAAAGGTGGGAGCTGTTTGTAGTGATGGATTCGGAACTGGCTGCTCAGGGACATAATGGGATCAAGGAACAACTGGACATTGCATTCAGTGCTCTGGTCTGGGTAACAAGGGGTTGATGGGTCACAGGTTGGACTCAGCCTTGGAGGTCTTCTCCAGCATCAGTGATTTTGAGATTCTGTGAGTTCACATTGTTGAAATAGAACTTGATGTCCTTATTTTAAAAACTTATCACATCACTTATCAATAACTGATACAGCCATAGACTTAAAATTCCAGCCTTGGGCCCAATAAACACTTTGTCACACACTGCAGACGTGAAGTGAATTAAACTTCTTGAACATCGAGATAAGGTTGTGGGTTTTCATGCAAATGCTCCAAATCCGTTTAATCTTCTTGGAAAATGATTTCATAGAGCAAAGCTGTTTGATGTTCTTAGGAAAACAAGTGCCTTTTGTAAACAGCAACATGAGGCTTTTGGTAAATACCACATCCAAGTTGAGGTTGTGTTTTCAAGTTACTGAACTGCAATTAGCGATGTTTCCCAGGGTGAGTTTTTTCAAAGTATAAAAAGCTGCTGTGAGGGGGCAAACAAACCTTTAATGATCTAAGGTTAGGAAGTATTTCATTGAGAAGAATGTTAATGTGCTATATGAAAGAAAACAGGAAGAAAGAGGATATTGAGAATGAATTTGATCAGCTCTGTCGGGGATAGAGTGTGGGTTAAACTGTGTTGCTGTTCTACCAGTGCACTGCTTGGGCCTGAAATCAGGTTTTACAGTAGCAAATAAAGGCCAGTATTAACCTCAGAGCTGTATTGTTGAGAACTACACATGTGGAGTGAGAATTCTTACAGAACTCATGCACAGGAACAGCCAGAGATTATTGTTCTCCTTTCTAATGCATATCACAGCTGCAGGTAGAAAATTTTCCTTGGGGGTACCTTCCAACTCAGGATATTCTGTGGTTCCACCCTACTCTTCTGGTTTTAATGGCTTCATCCAACTGCATGGCTGGCAGGTGATGGTTGGCAGTGGTGCTGTTTGCTTTAGCTTGTGTTGAGGTGTGATCTGGAAGGTCTGTGTGTGTTCTGTGCATTCCTGTGCAGTTCTTGAGACTGATGTGAAGCAGTGATGCTACTGGGGCCTGGCCCTGGTGCTGGTGGCTCCTCTCAGGGACAACTGCCCTGCACAGATGAGTCTGAGTGTCCTGACACCTTTCAGCAGAGACAGCTATTTCTTACATATGATCTAAAGTACCTTTGACAGGCTTTTTGGTAAACCTGCCCATCAGGAGGCAGCACTGATGTGGCACCTTTGTCTTCCTCTGTGCCACGTCCCTTGGGGCCTGCTCCTCCCTGTGGCTCCACTCCTTGCTGAGCCCATGCCTGTCTTCCAGCTCACCTGCTCCAGATGGGCAGCAGAGTGGGGAGGACACTGGCAGAGGCAGATGTGTTTATTTACCAGAGACAAAACGCTGCTCTGGTGCAGATGGCAACGCCCCAGGGCACACGGCGCTCTCTGACACTGCTGTCACACTACACTGATCTCCACGTTGCAGGCAGAAGCTTTTTCTCTAACTTCATTGTGGCATTTAGAATTTTACAATACAAGCCTTGCCATCAGATTTGGTTTTTTCCCTGTGAATTTTGTTACATTTTCGTCATAATATGTGGGATACCAGAAGGATTAACACTGGTGCTTGAAACTGCATAAAGGATTCCTGGAGGCTGCTAATGTAATTGTAGATCATGAAAATAAAAATTAAAAGCTAAACCATGCCAGCACCTCCTGTTAGGAGTGGGAAAATAGTTGAGAAGTAAAAAGTTTGGTGGGGAAAAGGTAGTTTGTTGCTTTATTGTCACTCACTGACTGAAGCTGTTATAGGAGGCCAGAAGGTGTATGAAAGGGAAGATTAAACAGCAGCAGGACTTTCTCAGGCATTTAGACTTTTGCTGTGGCCAAGATCAAAATAGAGTTCGTTCTGCATTGTTCATCACCATCTGGGTTCCTCCCTGGTACCCATTAGATTTTATTTAGGATTCTCATGACTCTTGTAGTCCAAGTTCTTGATACCTTGGGGATGGCTCACAAGGCAGTGCCTTGAAATTGTTCTTTTGGTGGAAAGTATCAAGTGTAATAACACTGGGCTTGTGTCTTAAGTCCATTAATCACTGTTGTCTTTGCTTCTACTTGATAGTCACCACGACATTTCTCTTTTTAAAACACAAGATTTCTGCTCCAAAGCAGCATCTGAAATGAATCTTTGTGATTTTTGATCAAGGCAAACCTGGAAGGGGCTTTGGCTTTCATGGAGGTGAATGGCCTTAAGCTGAAGGAGAGCAGGGTTAGATTGGATATTAGGAAGGAATTGTTCCCTGTGAGGGTGGGAGGCCCTGGCACAGTGTGCCCAGAGAAGCTGTGACTGCTTCCTTGGATCCCTGGAAGTGTCCAAGGTCGGGAACAACCTGAGACAGTGGAAGGTGTCTCTGCCTATGTCAGGGGGTGGAATGGGATGAACTTTAAGGTCTGTTTCAGCCCAAATCATTCCACCATTCTGTGGTTGCCTGTTCCTGCACCTCACCTGGTTCACCTGCTGAATCCACTGCAGGATTTAGTACACTGAACTCACTACTGAGGTTGTGGAGGGCAGGGGGAAGTAGGAAAAAAAGCCCCCTGCCCTCCAAAGGTGATGAAGTTCAGTCTCTGCTTGTGATGCTGTTTAATTATAGGTGACAGGGTCTGGCTGGATTCCAAAGGCAGCTTTCAGCTCCTCTCCCCATGTCCACACTTGGCAGGAGGTTTCCTTGCTCCCACCTTTCCCCCCTCGCTGTGACTTTGGCTTCCGCCAGATGTCACAGGGCTGTGTCACCACCAAGCTGGGGTTGGGCTCTTTGGCACAGCTGTGCTCTTCAGCTGTAAATTCTGAACAATTTCACACATGTCCTAATTGCTGTCGTTATTTTAAATCAAACAGTGCCAAGTGCAAAAATACTTGGGATGAGAAATGGTGCTTCTGTAGGAAGGGAAGTTGGAGTTAAAAATAATGTCCTGGAGTGATGGTCATCACTCATTTGATGGCCCTTTAACCACAGTAACTTTGTAAAGAGTTGAGAATTGCTGGTATGGACCACGGTACAGAAGTCAAGGAAGTCTGCCTTTGGAGTGGACAAAAGGATTGGGATGTATAAGAAATTCCAGTCACAGCATCGAGGTGTTATGCTGCAAATTTCATTTATAATCATGGAAGTAGTAAATAGATTATGTATATTTACTAATGTTTAAATCCTGCCTTTCTAGAATAATAAGGCATGGGGGATAATTATTTGCATTTGAGTTTTAAGAAGTCTCAGAGACCATTAGCAAGAGAACTTAAAACTGAAAATCAGTTTACAGATGGGTTTAAGGCTGTATAACACCATTTATTTATGGTTGAGTATCTCGCATATGCCAATGTTGGTAATTCCAAGTCACACAATAATTTGAGTGATCTTGTGTCATGGCTCTTAAATATCAACTTGTGTGATGTTTCAGAATAAATAAATGATGAAATACAGCCTAATTAAACCAATACAGCTGCATGGTAACTTCTTTCCAAATATTCTTGGATGCTTTGAAGATTAAATCACACAATTTAAAGTGATGTTTTATATATAACTGTAGCCTGCTTTTTTTCTTTCATACTGTCTGAAAGTAAAAATATAGTGGCGTGTGATTTTTTTTTTTTGTGTGTGTATGTGGAAATTTACTGTATTGAGTATCAAAATGAACTTTTCTTATGATGCAGTTAATGTTTTGGCTTTAGGGTGAAATTTTGTTTGCTTTTTTAATCTGGTAGTTGCATCATCATTTTTTTTCTTATTTTGTTGCTTTGTTGATCTAGGTTTTCCAGCAGTTTGGAGATATCCTGTTAGTACAATTAATTTAATAAGAAACATTGTGTAGATATGGAAATACTGGAAGTATATAAAAGCTGCTTTTAAAAATACATACAATTACCAACTTTTTTCTGATCCTATGTTTAAAAATAATACAGTGCACGTGTGTTTCATGGTTTTACAAAGTACAGATCTTGGAAGGAGATGTAGGAGAATAAGAGATGTCTGATTTATTCATGATGGTGGAATACTAAACCCAGAACATGGAGTAAGCTGCCAAATATTAAAGATTAAACTTGGTACATGCAATAAAAACCAAATTGCCAGTGAACAGGACACTGTGTGTAACTGCACTGTGCGAGAGGTTTCATACGTGCTGAGACGGGCCATGCTCACAGGGAGGGGCACTGGGAAGAGAGCAAAGAGCAGGTTCAATGAACAAAGAGTTCTTAGAAACTGCAAAATGTTCACGTTGTGCTCACGTGTCAGCAGTAAAAATTCACAAATTTTATGCTGAGGTGAAAGAATTCCTATTCTCTTGAAAATCAGTGTGTTTGGGGTTTTTTACAGCTTTCCCAACACATTTAAACTTTAAAAACTTTAATGCAGTTTTCACACCAGATTCTATGTTTTTATTTGCTTGTGCAGTCCATGTTACCAGAAGACCTAATCATTTTTAGCTTGAGACCCACAATGTGCTGCAGACAGGATTGATGTAGCATTTTATGATAAGGAATTGGGTAATCATCTCTGCTGCTGTTCCCTGGTGCGTAGGGAATCAGGATTCAGATTTGGTGTGAGTGCTCTAACAAAAACATCACTTCTCTTGGCAGACCCCTTACCATGTGAACCTTCTCCTGGCTGGCTACGATGACCACGAGGGCCCTGCCCTGTACTACATGGACTACCTGGCAGCTCTGGCAAAGACTCCTTTTGCAGCACATGGATATGGAGCATTCCTTACCCTCAGCATCCTTGACCGCTATTACAAGCCAGGTGAGTGGATCACTGGACAGGAAAATTCTCCTGCTTCAATTTAGGCCTTGAGTTTATTAACCAGCGAGACTGACATTTGCTGAATCAGGTGGCATTGCTGTGGTGCAGCAGATTGGAACTCGACTTTTTGTTAGATAAATGGAGCACGAAAGGTTGCCTTTGGTTTTGCTAGCATAGTAACAGAAAACTAGTCAACTCCTTAATTTTTTTTTCCTGTTTACAGCATAACAGACTGGGAGTAAAAGATGTTTCAGTTATTCTAAAACATGATTAGACTTTCCTGGACCATTGGCAGCTGGTAGTCTGCTTTTAATAAATAACAGTTTGACAGCTCTATCTTCTTGCTTTTCTGTTGGCTCTGACATGTACATTTTCCCAGTGTATCAATATTCAGAAGTCAGTCCCAGATGCTATTGCTCCATATCTTGGATTGGCTTTGTGTATGATAAATTAAAAACATTCAAATGAAAAGATAGATGATCTCCAGCACTCTGAAGTAGTGGTGATGAATCACACAAAGCATGGAATGGTTTGGGTTGGAAGGAACCTTAAAGCTCATCTCATTTCACCTCCTGCCATGGGGACACCTTGCACTATCCCAGGGTGCTCTAAGCCCTGTCCAGCCTGGCCATCGAGACTTCCAGGGATGGGGCAGCCACAGCTTCTGTAGGCAACAGAGAGGTTTTAAACTGATACAGTTCTGTGCACTTGGCAGCTGCTCACCATAGCTCTTGTACATGTTTGTACCTGTCTAAACTTTTAGTTTTAGAATCATTATCCCGTGCCAAGGAATATACATGGCCCCATCCCCACTGTGCAGATAAGGAAAAGTGCAAAGCACAGAATATTGTTAATCTGACATCTTTGGCTGTAGCTACAAACTATTTGACTCCTGTGTGCAAAGCTGAATTTAAGTTATTATCTCTGCTCTGCGATTAGAAATCCTTTCATCTACCTCCTTCATTAAATGTGGCTATAAACTGATCATTTTCATTTCACTTGTCTGAGCAGTGGATGCAGGTCTGGAACAAAGCCTAGAAAGAAGTTTTAGACCCTGTTTGTTTTCTAGTCATGTCCCTTAACAATCTATTGTTCCATTTTCACCATTCCTTGTGGAACAGAGGAAAATAATGAACTTCATTGTCATGGCTTGTCACCCCTATAGAGTGCTGGATTTTATCCTGAAGTGTGAGAATAACAGGAGCATCCCACACGTGCCTTGTCCTTTATTGAGCTCATACCCAGCAGGAACATCACACTAAACCCATCTCCACCTCCTGCCCTGGACTTGCAGCCGGCCAGGGCAGCTGGAGCTGATTTAGAGCTGCAATAAACTGTAGGAGAGGGAGGTGGCTGGGCTTCTCTGAGCCAGGCCCTGGCCATGGGAGGCAGAATTCCGTCATGCTTCCCATTCCCTGTAACAAATCGATTCTCAATGGCTTGTTGGGGCGTGAGCACTGCGGAGCAGGGCGTCCTCGGGACATCTGGAAAGTGTTTTCTGTGAGCTGGGAAAAAGAGGTTTTGGTGCTCAGCTGAAAAGTTGTTTAAATTTAATAAAAGTTTCTGTGGAGAGAGATGGCCTCTAATGAAATCAATCTGTGGATGTTTTCCCTTTCAGGTATCACACGTGAGGAAGCTGTGGAGCTCTTAAAAAAATGTCTAGAGGAGGTGAGTTGCTGAACTCAGGCCCTGATGCTCCTGAGAAAGGAATGTTTGTTTGCATTCATTCGCTGATACTTTCCTGTTCCTCTTGTCGCATTTCTTGCTGCCTTTGCCAGAAGGGTAATAAAGGCACTGGCCAGATGTGGAATAGCTACTGAGGAAAAGGATTTACAGGCAGTTGCATTGCCTTTGCAAGGTTCACGTCCTCCAGAATGTAAACTTGTGCATTTTGCATGCTTAGCATAATATTGATCCAGACTTTTTCCTCTTACTTTTCTTATGAACATCCTGCAGCATCCTTGTCACTTGTGTTACACTTTAAGAACTCTTTGAAGTATATACTAATTCTTTTCCAGGTTGTGAAGTGATACCTGAGGTAAAGCCTTGACCTTAAAGTTCATGACCAATTTTAGTGTCAACATTAGGATCCAGACATTTCAGACACCATGGCTTTTATTGTAGGAAAATAGTCTTTATCCTTGAGTTTAAGAGATTGATTTGAATGTAACATCAAGAAGAAGTCTCTTTGAAGTATCTGTGTGATACATACACTTTGTGTCCAAAATTTTGGCCCACTCCAGTTTTCCTGCTTTAATATCTTCCTTTTTAGCAGGCCTGGCTATTTTGCATCTTTACCTGAGGCTTGTCTAATGTTGATAATCGTGCAACAAACTCCCACTAATTCACTCCTGAGCAGTGAAGAAACCCACTCTAGTTCCTAATATTTTGGGTCACTAGAACCAGTATGGAAATTAAAACTATACTCTTCTCTTTTATTTGAGTGAATCTTATTTCTTCTGTCTTTTTGTCTTTGCTGAACAGCTTCAGAAGCGTTTCATCCTCAACCTGACCTCCTTCAACGCCCGGTTCATTGACAAGGAGGGCATCCACGAAGTGGACAATATACCCCTTGCCAAAGTGGAGTCCTAACCCCCAAGATCTTTCTTCAGCAGTCTTCTTGTTTTGTTCTCTCTTGGGTTTTTTTTTCTATTCATTAGAAGCGCACGAGTAATGTACTGCAGTGGGAGCTCAAATAAAGCCTGACATTTATATAGCCAGTTTTATCTTTTTATTCCACTGATCCTTCCTGAGAGGATTTGAGTGAATTGTTCCACAGTGAAGGTGAAACTTGATTTACAGTTCATGGGGGCACATTCAGGTTATTTATCTTTCCTCTTCTGAGATTTTAGTGCTCTCCAAATTTCTTACTTGTGGGAAAACTGTATTTTCTAGATGACATTGTGCTGTCATCCTTCTCATCAGTAAAGCTCGTCAAACTCCAGGCAAGTGGTCCATGCCAAACATACAGCATCTACTTTATTTTTTCAAAGATGTTACCATTCTTTGCTGTATGAAATATTAATCAGGTTTTCAAAGACCTAATTTGCTTTTGTTAGAGTTTTTTTGTTTTTTTTTTTTCACTTGAATTAGATTGATACAAAGGTTTCCAAGTAGAATGGCTTTTAAAATGCACTTCTAACTCACCTGGCAATGGTTCTGTTACTGGGAAAGAGGATTCTGCTGGCACGGTGGGTTCATAACTATATTAAATAGAATTTAAGTAGTATTTTAAATAGAAACTAATATAACAGTTGTGTGATGTTTCTTAATTGATGTGTCTGTACATTTAAAAGTACATGAAAGCAGTTCAGTGAGAAATTAAACTTCAGCATTCTTCATAAATCTTTGAATTACTCTCAGCTAACTAGAGCCTTGTTTCCTTGAGAATAATCCCTGATGATCCATCTAGACTCAAAATGCTGCTTCCCTATAAAACCCCCATTCATGGAACAGCCTCAGATAATTATCATGTGGCTGATACTTGTGGTCTGCCCAGAAATGGTTTTTCTGAGAACATTTTTGGTGTGACTCCTTCCCTACTTGAATTAGCATTAAAATTGCTCTGGGTGCTTATTTTATGTTTGAAAAAGCTCAGAAAAAGAATCTTGGAAATAGGGTAGATGTGTACAAGATGGTGTGCAGACTGATAGTTGAGTGTTGTGGCATAAGACCCAAGTTCTCAGCTGGAAAAGGTGAGTGACAGACTTCACTGTTAATTTGTCTAAGCTTTTTGGTCTTACCTCAGTGGTGTGTTTGAGAAGGTTCGATCCTTCCCAAAAAAAGTTGTCAGTCTTAAAGTATTCCTGTCTTCTGAATGGATGAGAACTAGATGAGACTGAGACTTGCTTAATGACACAGAAGAAATTTACAGCTCCAGTACCTTAACTCACCCTGCCTCTTACTTAAATCTAATTCTTCCCTGAAGTCCCATCAGGCTTTGTATTTCAGTTCTTCCCCAAATGAGTTTAATTACAGCTGGTTTTGCTGTAATGGCTGCAATGGCTTTTATTTAAGGCAAATGGCACAGAACTCTGAAACAATTTGCTAAAACTCACTTTATCTCTTGAAAACCTTTTAAACTTTCACACTCAGCAGTCCCCAGCCTGATGATTTCCTCTTGGCAGGTCACATTTAACACGAGCAGAGTCGCAGCGTTGTCGTTCTGCCACTGAAATCTCACCCCTTCGTGTTGCATTAATGTACTTGTTTAGCTTAATGCAGCATCTCTAATTTATTTTACCACTGATGTTGAATGTTTTTGCAGGTTTCTTGTCTCATTTCAAACTCATCACTGCAGAGGGGCTGAGCTGATGTGATATTTTTGTCACTGCATATCAAAGCAGCAATGCCTCTTCATTGGAGGGATTCATTGTTCAGACACCAAACTGGGGTGTGGAGCTCTTGGATCATGTGAGCCTGGCAGAGAATCTGCCTGGAGTTTTTATTGGCACCTATTTGCATGCAGGTGATTAATAAACATAAAACAATTATTCTCTGGTTGGATCCAGGTTGGAGTGGAACATATGTTTTGCCCAGGGGCAGGGCCCAGGATCTGAATCCCCCATGGAAAGGAAGATCCAAGGGGTTGCATCTGAAGCCAATGGAGCAGCAACCTCGAGGAATGAATAAATACAGCCCTTGATTCCAAACCAGGAACAAAAGAACTGGCCCACAATGAGATTGGACTATAGCCTCTAACAAAGGATTTTTGAGGACTTTCCAAGAATTCATACTTCTTAAGGAAAAGTGTGATACTTTTGCTATGTAACTTACTTTTTAAAATGTGCTGACACTCAAATTCAGAAGCCAGTTTTCATTTTTGACAGTATTACATGGAATCTCTTTGAAAAACCAATATTTAAGTTAAATGAAAGAATAGAAAACTTCTTACCTGCTTCAAGTTTAGCCCTAAAGCCTCTGAAAACCATATTTTGCCTACAATCCAGGAATCCCTTTTCGAAAGAATTCACCTCTCCATTTGTATTTGTCATGACAGACCTCTTTCATAATAAATCTGAAATATTTGAGCACTGCAAGGAAATACTGCTTTGTACTAATTTTTGTGGTTCATATTATGAGAAATGAATGTAGTAGTCAAGGTGCCTTGTTCCTGGGGCACTGTGGCCATGGTAAACTTCTCTGCCTTGCCTTGCCTGGTAATTCTGACCATATGTTTTACTCTCAAAGCCTCAGGGCCCAAAGAGTTAACAAGGCCCTTTTTCTCGTGTTAGGTTTCCTGTTTAAGGATAGTCTTTTCCTGGGGAAAAGACCATCACCAGCTCATCTCTCCAGAGCTTGGAGTTGGCTCCAAGATCAGTTTACAGATTCTCTGTGCCTTAGGCTACATTGAGTGCTTTGCTGGAAGAGGAATGTGAGCATAGGTGCAGCACTCACAGGGCTTTTTCTTGGTGTTAATTACACCTTTCCATGGAAGAAAATCAGTGTTTTGGAATAGACCTCCCTGTGACCAGAAGCATTGGCCCAGAGGAGCCATCAGAGCTCAGCTGCCTTGTGGAATTGGTCTCACACAAATTTGTAGTGGTGCCAAGGCAGTTCTGCTGCCTAAAAGTGACTCCACAACTCAAGTCATCTTGAGTGAAGTGACAGCCAAGCAGGGACATCAGTCAAAAACTGAAATGCCTGGAAGGTGAAACTGTCTCCCATCCTGCTGTATTCACTTTTGTGGGGAGCTGCTGGTGAGGGGAAGCCCCCCAGGCTGATTCACCTTCCTTTCCCCAGGATTTCTTCAAGAAATCCATGGCCCTGTTCTGTTAAACCAAGAGATGCTCCAGCCCTGGGCAGGTGAAGAACCTCAAGCTGGGACTGGGTTTCAGCGCAAACCTGAGTGTCCTAAGCAAAATTCATGAGACTGCCTAATAATAATAATAACAACAATAATAACACTAACAAAAATATAAATAAAGTGTGTGTGATCAATCCTACAGCATATCCTCAGCAGTCCTTGAGTACGACTTCTGTTCATGATGATCAGTCACTGGCAGAAACCTTGTCACCAAATGGAGCTGTCACTTCCCAGAGTCAAGATGTGGGAGCAGAGGGGAGAGATCAGGCTGAGCTCTCCCAAGGATGTGTTTTCCTTTGCTCTTGTCTCTAGTTTTGACAGTAGGCTCCTCCAAGAGGCATTAGCCCATGCCAGGGCTGACACTAGAAATTATGCTCATAGGATTTGGTTGAATCCATTTTCCATCTGAAGCAGGGATAGAATATTTTGTATTAAATAACTTGGCATTTAAAGAATAAAACCCCTCTGCTACCTGTGAAGGACTATATTTATATATTTAAGGAAAAATTAATTTATCCTAATTGTAAAAAGTTTATCCTTCAAGCTATTTTTAATTCTTTGAGGGTTTAACCTTACATAGGCTTTCCGTGTGTTTTTATCAGCCATCAACAGTAATTTAGTGCAGGAAATTTTCACTGATCAAGCTAAACAGACATTAGTTGTTTTAATAGATTAAAAAAAAAGTAAATGGTGGAATTAAAATATTCAACTTGTCGATTTTTCATGACTATGTTGGTTTAGATCTCTGACTGGCTGAGGACTATGTTAAAAAATAAGTTAGTTGTCTTGAAAATGTAAAGTGACAGTTTAAGTGTTTTGTTTCTGTGCTAATGTGCAATTAGGTCGTTATCCAATAAGCTGATTCATGTAGTTTAACTCGAGACAGCTGTGGAAGGCAGAGAAAACCCTTTGCTGTTGGGGCATGGGGAGAGGGTGTCTAAAAGGATCTGTTTCTGAGCAGCCAGGATGGTATTTTTCCCTGTGTAATTCAGTAAAGTTAATAAGATTTATGAAAAACTAAATTCTGCTGATCAAATCTTTAGAAAGAAAACCAAAATATGAATGCCAGCAAGTGTGGAATAAATTTTGATCTATAAATCAACTCTAAGCACTACAAGGTGGGGCCAACCTAATCACTGAATCCTCTGAAGTGATTTCTTGGTTGGGTGTGTTTTGATTTGGTTAAATTACCTTTTGCTTAGTAGAGGTTGTTAAATATTTCTTGTGTTTATGCACAAACATGAAAATTGTGGATCTCCTCAAGTTAATTTACATCAGCCAAAGGAAACTCCATCTTTTTTTGTGTCAGTATTTTGGGGATTATTGACAATAACCTGCTACTGTACCACCAAAACACCCATGGGCCTCAGTGGTGATTGATCTCCTCTTACCAAATGTTGCTCTGGGAATGCAGCTGATGCCATTCCCTGCTCCCAAAGTTTTTGGTTTGTAGGGAGCACCTGTGTCTCCCCAGCTTTGGATTCAGCAGAGGGCAGTGATCTCGCACACTGCTGCCTTCTCCCAGACTGGTTTGTCCTCTTCCTGCCTTGCAGATCAGCTGGTGGGCACAGAGCTCATGGAGAGAACAGAGCCTTCTCCAGCAGTGGCAGGTGGGATGCACAGGGTTCTTTCTTCCTTTGGAAGATGCTTATTTTATTTTATTTTTCACAAATGTTAGGCAGTTGTGCCACAACTGGCAATTATCCATATTTTCACAAAGGAAGATAGCCAGTGATTTGCCAAAAACCCAAAAAGAGCAGCTGAAATCCATCCTGTCGTAGTTAATCCAAGCACTGACAAGCAGGGATGTGAAGGTAAATCTTCAAGGTTTTTAGGATATTATAATTCTCCCTTGCAGTCCTGCTCTGGACATTCACAGCTGTGTGCTCACAGTGAGGATGCTCACAGGATTTTATCAGCAGGGAGGAAAAGCTCTTCCACCACATGGTACTGTTTTCAAAGGACTTTCTGTGATCCCACAACACAATTTGCTGAAGAAAACAAATCAGGAAAGATCTGCAATGGCTGGTTTGGAATGTGGGATATCACAAACCATTCATTTGCTCCCTCCCACCAAGCCTGCAGTGTGCCAAGGCTGTGGCTCAAGGGTGGCATTATGGGCCTGGCTGGAGCAGAAAATGCACTTGTCTGTGTAATTAAAATGTGCCCAGTTGGATTATATAGGAATCAGAAACTTTCAAGTACATAGCCAGGCTCTGACATGGGAATTAGGAAAACATTTCCAAAGCTGTCAGCTCATTTGGTGGTTTTCCTTTTTTTGGACAGCAGTTCCTTGTATGTGAAACTTTTGTTACTGAGTTTGGGATATGAAAGGATTTATAGGCATTACTTATCCCTTATTTTCTCTGATTTAAAATGATACAGTTCAAACCTGTTTGTCTTTTTTTTTTTTTTTTTTTTTTTTTTTTTTTTTTTTTTTTTTTTTTTTTTTTTTTGTAATCATCGTTAAATTCACCTAGTTCTTAGTAAGCACCTTCAAAAAGAAAATAATTAAAACATGGTTTTAATTTAATTTGTCTCACAGTGTTCACTCAATACACAGGAGAAACCTGCCCAGAGCATCACTCTGGGGGCTTTACTTGGGCACATCTGATATTCCAAGGGTTTTTGTGTTGGTTTTTGCCTCAGGATTGATGGCCTGTGCTGTGATGAGCCAGGGGAAGGCTGCTTGTGTGAGCTCCATGTTCACATAAGCCAGGAAGGGATTTGAGGTTGACCCCTCCTGATGTGTTTAGGAGCTGTGAAGCCACACAGTTACAGTTTTGGTTTTGGTTTCCATGTTGGCTCCAAAATTTACAGAGTCCTAAAGCAAAAGGTTCTTTATGTTCAAAAGCTGTGAAAAAGCTTATTAACACATGGAATTAATAGAAAACATTTTTGCCCCAAGCTTAGCTGAACAGAGCTATTTTTCCTCACAGGATTTGGTGAATTACTCCTTGGCTCAGCAGGTTCAAAGGCATTGACAACTTTTTTTAGGAATACTTTAAAACAAAAATGTTCCTTAAGTTCTTTAGCATTCTATCTAAGTTTTCTGCTTTACCAGGTAAGACCTTTGTTTTCTCTAAATGGTCTATATACCAAATGTTCTGAAAGATGATCCTTAGGGTTTTCCCATCTCTTGGTTCTTCCTCACTTTCCTGAGGAGAGCTGAATATTTCAGTTTGTCTGAAACTTTCCCATTTTCCCAGTGCCCTGACAAGGCAGGGCTGGGCTGTAGATGCTCTGTGCCTGTTTTGGCTCTGGAGAATTTTGGAGGAGTTTTTTTTGGAGAAGTTTTGTGCCAAACCCCATCTTCCTCACAAAGAGAACCTGAACGAGGCTGAGTCAGGGCTGTCTGTGCCACAGGACTGGTCTCATCTCTCATGGTGATTACTGTGTGCTCCTGGAGGATCCCTGTGATGACCAAATTAGCAGGAAACTCCAAAAGCCATAATCTGTAATATATAATATATAATGTGCTGCTGCCATATGACAGGGCTGGGAGAGGAAATGAAATGAAAATGGGTCAGGAGTGGGAGGCCTGGGCTTAAATAATTCCCTGTGGTGCCAGGGTCCATTTAGGAGGCAAAACAGCAGCACATTACCAAGAGGGTGTAAGAAAAGTTGTTTTCATGGTCCAAACTGAGCAAACTGGCCTTTCCACCAGCCTCCTCCTCCTCAGCAGTGTCTGCATCCTATA